AGACGCAGTGGAAGGGTTGAAGGAAGTTGGGCGTGTGTCATGGTGCTACTGTTGAGTGACAAACGCGCAACTTTGGCGCCTCTCCGCCTGTACGTCAGTTTCAGGCCAAAGCAAAAGCCAATAACGGCGAAGAGTTGTTATGGAGAAGACTGGTGAGATGGAACTGGGTGCGGCACTTACGATGCATCACTTTAATGGTGTAATTCTGGGCTTAGAGAGTGAGGCCTAACTGTGTGCATGCATCGACGCATCTGCACGTGAAGTTCCAGTTTAGAAGCTTGAGTAGCGGGAGTGGCTAGTTTTCGGGCAATTTTGGTTCCTTCGCATGCTACGAGGAGGAGAGAGCTATTAAATGGTGCGTGTACGGCATCAGTGGGCTAAACATAAGTGTACGTTATATGCGGAATGACTTCGGCTCAAGCCAAAGACGGAAGTAGGGACGAAGCCGAGTGGGTGAAGCGGGCATGCTTCGGCAGGCAGATCTTGCCTTTGTGGGCTTGGCGAGAGCATGATTCCCGTAAAAACTGTTACGTCTAGCAACGTGTTGCTGCGACCGAGCAAGCAGCACAACACCATTCGCACTATGCTCGGGAAGAATTGAGTGTGCTGCTGCGCCCGAGCAAGCAGCACAACACCATGCGCGCTGTGCACGGGAAGGCTGACTAAAGAAGCGCCGTCGTTATGCTGCCGTTTGGCCACTTTGCAACGCCTGGTGGCCACGCAACTCTGGCTTTGCCACGGTTGTTTGAGGGAACAACGCATTGTCTGCAACTCAAAAGACCGTATGTCGTTCTTCTCTGTAGGAAACTGAGGAATCTGCAAGTATGCCCCACCCAGGTAGAAACAAAGGCTAGCAGGAAGTGTTGTGCCTTGCCTCTGTGCTGAGGTGGTTCGTTGTAAGCGGGCGGCAAGGCATCGGTGGCCTGACAAACGCTGTCTCCGTCCTACGAGGAGCTGCGACAGCTTGAGCCCTGATGAAGCTCCCTGATGGGTAGGGTGAACGTTCGGTACTCCGAATAGCTATAGCGAATAGCAAACTGTCCCTAGCCAAATGCTTGTTTTCGAACGTTCGTTCCTGCCCCTTATTCTGAAGTGTAATGCGTGGGCTGTGTAGAGTTTTCCGGGGACGTGGCAGTCGCAGGCCATAGCTACGAACAGGCTGTGTTGTGAAAGGATGAGCGTTACTACAGGCGTCGCTTGAGGATGGGTCTTCTTATGGGAGTTGACAGCTCTTATTTAAGTTTCGCGTGAAGTGGTCGGTTCAACTGAGTCTTGCAACGTGAGCGTCAGCTGCAGGTGGTGTAAATGTATGCGCCCCTCAACGATTGCTCTCCTGCAGTTACGCAAGTTTCGCATTGCGCCGGAGGCTTGTTCATGCTGATTCAGGATGTAGGTTTTGGAATCTGAGCATGAAGAGCATGGGCTTGCCGTGCATCCCCGGGAACAATATTGGTTTGGTTTTGTTAAGTTCGCCTTGATTTGCGTTGAAGAGGTGGTTGCACACAGCAGTGTGAACTGGCTGGTTCTGCTAAGCGTAATGAGGGTGGTCAAGACCTTTTAACGGCTCAAAAACCATTCACAGTCCAAAAGGACATGGTTTGAAAAGCGAACACATAGAAATTGCGTTCATACTTTAAAACGACAGTAAGCTCGACGGAGCGCCTTCAGCAAGCATCTTCGCGAGATGTTGTGTGCAGTTGCCTTGGTGGTGGTTCGGGTAAGTTCGAAGCGTTGTGCCTGCGTATGTAGATACAAGTTTTATTTGGTTCCGGTGTATATGCTAACCGTGAGCACGAGGTCAGTTGACAAATCGTGCCAATAATAAGCCTTCACGCACGAATTGCCTTGGACTGCGTTCAGGCTTACTACCTCTTGGGATCCTCACTGTTATTGACCGAGCTTGTAAGTTTCTAGTGTCACTCGAGACGATTGCTTTCACCCTGCACAGAAGAACTGCGGCGTTTGTGGTGAAGGGTTCCTTCGGTTTAAAATTCTGTGTATGGTCTCTGGAAGGTGTGCACGCACTTTCCTTGCATGGTGTGGTTGTGCAGCCAGTAAGTCGTTGCACTTGGTGGAAGTCTCGTTGCCACTTGTGTTTGCCATGCTGCGTGGTGTGCACAAGCTGACTGAGATAATGCAGAGCTGGCGGTATGCGGATTGAGAAGTTTGTCTTGTGCTGGACTCACTGGTTGTCACCGCGTTAGCCTTGTTGAAGCTGCGTCGTTTGGGGACGGATTGCTCTCTTTTTGATGCTTTCGTTGTCGGCCGTGGTTTTCGATGCGAGTGTGAGTTATGACCTTGTCTCTAGTGCAGGAAGTGTGTCAGGTGTCCGACTCTACATTTCACTGCTTTAGAGGAAACAAGCACTGTGCGCGCCCTTCTTTGAAGCATCCAACAACCAATACGTTACTCTTTGGGGGTCTCGGAGACGCAGTTTGTGATTCGCGTGTATGCGGCTTCTGGCAGTATGAGTGAACTCATTTAAGAGCCTGTCTGAAGGAATGGAAGTCTGCTGGTGCGTTTAATGGCAGCCTTGCCCCAATTTACTTCAGGATATTCGGGTTTTGTATTTATTGCGGAGGGAGGATGGTCACTTTGTCGGCGCTCAGAAAGTAAGTGTCTGCCCCCATGCCTCTGCGCTTTGCGAGTGCTGCTTTGCACGACGCCATAGCACTAGACGTGGCATAAAAATGTCCATACACAGTTTCCCAATGGAATAGCTTGGTTCATTTGATTTGCATGCGTTAGAAAGCACTAGCGCAAGTTATTAGGAATTGCAGTTAGACCTGAGCTCATTGTGAGCAAGGGACCTTCAATCGGGAGTATCTTGCACCTGCGTGGATTAGCGGTAGACACGGGCTAGGATGAGGAGCTCTCACATATCTCCAACTCGTTGACCTGGGTTAGTTTGCATCCTTTTGAAGTCTTACGCACAATGTTGCCAAGGCGAAGGCCATATGGGCTGCATATGTCTTGCGGGCGCCTCGATTTCACTGCCCTGCTGCAATTTTTTCTTTGCAGTGTCTCGGCTGGTTGCCCTGTCGTTACTACGTGGATGTGCCATGTAAAGTAGAGCGGTGGTTTATATCCCCTGCTGACATTGATTGAGCCGACGTGCGCATCGGGCAAACACACTAACCTGTCGGGCAAGGGCCCCTATGCTCAGTAGAGAGTGACTTCATACTTTATTATCGGGTCCTCTATCTGGGAGGTTGATGTTGGCGTATTGCGCGGAAGGGATACAAGCCTGGTTGCTCTCAGCATGGACTACAGCACTTTGTTGTTGCCGGCAGGTTGCCTCCTGCGAAGCTTATTTGACAAGCGTGTGGCTTGTAGGTGACCAGGGCAGTGTGCTACGCTTGGCTGTGTTCGGCCGCATGCTACTTCACTGGGTGCAAACTCCAGTCGGACCAGAACTGGAGCATTTGCTGACGAATGAGCAGTAGCATATTCCACTGTGCTGCTTGCCTACTGGTCCCAAGATCTCACCGGAGCCTTAGTATTCAGTTTAAAACAAACTAGCAAACTACTTCAGCAGTTGATGCAGTTTTAGCTGTGGAATGTGCTTGGTCGACCCATCACGATATTTAAAGAGAGTGCGCCTTTGGGGACTAAGGGGAGCCAAATACGTACAGCTGGAGGGGAGGGTGGGCTTCGGTGAGCTGTGGTCCGTGTGACTAAGTGTGCTGGAGTTCATTTTGAATGCATCGTTTTGCGCTTATTGAGAAGGAACCGGGTTGAAGACAGTTGTGTCTGAGGGCGCGCGACCAGTGCAGAATGTTAATTACAAAATTTGCATGCTGTGTCTAGGCGCATGACTGTGCGGTTTTGGGTAGACTTGAACATGATTGGAGGAGGGTGCCAAGCGCTGCATATGGGTGTGTGTGCGCGCCTAGCTTGGTAACGACCGCACATTTGAGTCCGGTCTTGCTGGTGCTCGGCTCATCTCTTCTTAACATGAAAGGAAGGGAATTAAATGGTTTACTTCGCACAACCTAACGAACAGGAACCCACTAAGGTCGTGCAGGTTAAACGAAGGGACTTCTTTTACCTCAGTTTGCTCCAATAGTACCCCTTATTCTCTCCTCTGCTTCCCTTAGTTTCGATGCACTTTTACCCCTGGTGGTTGCCATATGCCGTGCTCGGGTCACTTGCGCTATTCGTCAATACTATCTTGGTTGGGATTTCGTGGAAGCACCTTTTTAGCAAACTGTAACAACTACCGTCAACTCCCCCATCAGGGTGAAACGAGCAAATAGGACAAAGACTGGCTGGCGCAACAAAAGGGGTTGGAAAAGGCAAGCCGGCCCTCCGCCGCAAGATAACTTTAGGCGGAGACGGCGATTTCCAACCGCTGGGAGCAGGGCGCCTGGAGGTTGGTGAGGGGTGGCAGTTGCTCCTAAGAAATTCTTATCTTCAGTGCTTTGGCTGCATTGCAGCTTGCAGGCGTCCTTGAACAAGATCGAGGGCTCTCCATCCAGGCGGTTTTGTTGCTGGCACCTGCCCCGATGAGTCATGCGTTGGTATAACGAGCTCCGAGCTCCCAAAGGGCTCAAAAGCACAAGCTGAGAGTTCCCACAAGCTGCACACCTACCCTCCAGACCCCAGAACTTCTGCTGCTGCTGCTCACAGACGTTCGAAGGGGCCTAACGCTTTCACGGAAAAGTGTCCTGTCATGGTGTTTCTAGTGTAAATTGCCTCTGCCCCTTTTCTTGCCCACTACACACCTCCGTGATTCTCTGCACAAGGGACGTTAGAGGAAATTCCAATGCCCATCCGAGCCTTCGTGAATAAAATAACACATACAAAAGAGGAAAGTCTCATGCATGGCTTCGAAACATGTTCGGTATTCATGTCCTTTCTGTTATGCTCCGTTGATTTGCAGCTGGCCACCAGAATGGGGGAGGCGTTCACTACCCCAAACTCTAGTGGCCGGCGGGACTGTATGCTTTGAAAAGGTTGTGTACCGACTTTAAAAAGGTAAATGTGAGGCTCATAACTCAAGAAGCACTGAAGGTCGTCCCCGTCTGGCCTTCTCGCTGCCAGCAAACAACGGACACAGCATAAACTGTTGAACCTGGCACTACTGCATTGGGAAGTTGCAGTTAGCTGGATACGACTCCTGGTGTCCATCCCGAGAAGTTTACATCTAAAAAAGCATTGGAAAACAGGGGGGAAAGAGACGCACACTCCGGAAAAACGGCATTTGGCGGTGTGCACTGACCTGTCGGGCCCACATGGAAGCATACAACCCGTTTGGCTTCTGCAGCAGCTGCTCGTGCGTTCCGATTTCCGCGACTCGGCCTCTGTCGAGGACAGCAATTGCGTCGGCTCCAGCAACTGTTGACAGGCGATGGGCAATCAACAGGGTGGTGCGGCCACGCGATATCGCTTGCAGGGCCTGCTAGCAAGTTAAACATTAAAATAACCCACACATACAGCGACTGGCTTCACGTTATGAGGGCAGTATCGCGTGGGTCACCCCCTAGAATCAACTATTTGCAGTACCGAACTCCCTTCAGGCAGCGTACATGCATCAGGATATACATAAAAGCATACAATCTATGCACGATTGTGTAGGTATGGGGTTCTTGGGAGGTGCACCCATACCCATAGTAGGAGGTCGGGAACGGGGAAAAGGCTGAGACCCACCTTAAGGATTTTGTGTTCGGTGTGGAGATCCAAGGCGCTGGTCGCCTCGTCAAATACCACAATATCTGGGTTACGCAACAGGCACCGAGCAATTCCTACGCGTTGCTTTTCCCCCCCGCTAAGCCGAAGGCCTCGGTCACCCACAGGCGTGTCGAGCCCGTCGGGAAGCGACTCCACCAATTCTGCCAGCTCCGCTAAGCGGATTGCCTCCTGTGCGCAGAGGACGCAACGCTACTAAATATACTGACAGAAACGCGGGGATTAGCTGAGCTGACATGCGTTTAACTGCGAGCGCAAATTGTCGTTTGGTGCAGCAAGCCAACAGAGGCACATTACACAAGCTCTGCTCTGCTGGATGCAGATGGGAGAGTCCAACATGGTTATCCACTCGATAGTAGCGACAAAGCTCCAAAAGGCACCTTCACTTGTTCGTCTGTGGCATGTGGGCTGCCGTAGCGCAAGTTAAATCCGAGAGATTCGTTGAACAGCGCCACATCTTGGGGGACCACTCCTATGTGCTGTCTGTGCAAAGCCCAGGGTGCGCAACAGCAGCAGCAGGAGCCCGCCTAAGTGCTACCCGTAAAGCCCTGACCCCGTGCGATTCAGCATTAATTCACACACCTTGTTTGGAAAACCTCCGAATTGCAACACGTCAGCAAAGGTACTATTATGCAGCAGTGTTCTCGCCATACATCAACATATCTGTTTGTGCCAGAATTAGTTTGTTAGAACAGCATCAATCGCACAGCCAACTGCAAGGTACCTGAATGACATGATGGGAAGGGTCTTGAGGTCCTGTCCATCTATAGACACGACGCCGCTGATGGGGTCCGCAAGCCGATACAAGAGGCGAATCAGCGTGGTCTTGCCCGAGCCCGACTCCCCAACCAAGGCCACTCGGCTGCCAGCTGGCACTTGAAGCGAGAATCCATCTAAGACCAGCTTGCCCCCGCCGTGTACACCTGTAGAGGTTTGGTGCATTTTGCACGACTCCTGGTTTTGCGGCGACGGATGTACAGACGATTGGTCCAAAGAGTGGGAGGGAGGATAAGCGAATTTAACGTCTCTAAACTCCACTGCACCGCCACGCAAGTGAAATGCAACCGGGTTCGGTGGGTCCTGCACCAGGGGTCGCAACTGCAACAGCTGCTGCAGCTTTTCCAAATCTATTGTATTCAGCGTCAGCTCTCTGTAGGCAGTTCCAATGAAGTTGAGAGGAATCGCCAGCTGCAGCACAGAAACCCCGCCCCTGAGAAGCCACGTAATCATTGACCCAAGGAAGCAGCATAGATAACAGGCAAGTGTATGACTAAACATCAATAAACTCCAGAAACACACAGACTGAGACGCATGTTGTCAGTAGCACCGCGAAGACGGCAATACCGCCGTTCGTCAGTTCGTCAACCCCCATACTCTTGTTTGCTCGTACGCGCATCTGATATTCAAGCATACAGGAGAGCATGCATGCTGGCTTGAAAGGTGTTATGTTTGGATCACCTGCAGGAGCAGCGTGCTGACGAGTACAATTTGGCCAACAGGAGCTGCCCCTGAAGCTACGAGGTTGGCGGTGTGCAGGAGGGAGAGGGTGAGTCCACTGGTGAAGATGAGTTGCTGTCCGAAGTTCAGAAGCGCCAACGACTCGTTCACTTTCGCCATTTGATTCTCCAGTTGCCTCTGCACCGCCCCAAAGCGCTCCGCCTCCTGCGCCTCCGCCGTGAAGTAACGCACCACCTCCGCGTTTCCCAGCGAGTCCACCAGCAGCCCTGAAGATAGAAGACGCTAAAATGCCTGGCCAACTCCAACCGCACCTTCACCACACGTTTCTACGAAACCGTTAAGGGCAGGCCAAATGCAATGCGAGACACACAAAACCCTAGAAATCGAAACTCTAAGGACGCGCAGAGGGCCCCCGGTTTTCTGGAAACCCCTCGGCGTCCTGGGGACCCCCAGCACTACCATAAGGCCGTTGTGACCCCCTTACAGCTGAAAGCGGTCAGTGGCTACAACGGTTCTTAAAGGCCTTCAGGGGCCTTGTAAGGGCCCCCTTGGCCCCGTATTGACATCTGTCAGTTGGCCTTAATATACTGTGTTTCCTACCGGCGCTGAGCCCCTCTAGGCGATTCATCTCGCGCCTCAGTTTGGCCCTGCGGGTGGTGACAGCGGCTGTAAAGGCCCAGTAAGTCGAGATGGTGGCCACAGCTGTTGCTGCGACGGTCCAACCAACTCTCAGCTTCAGAAGAACCAACACCATCAAAAACTCGAGCGTCGTGGGCACAACCTGCAGCAACCACAGCAGCAGAAGTTGTTGCGATTGTGGCAGGATCAAGGGCAGCACCAGCAGCTGCAGCACACACCGTTCAAACACAGCATTACACCCCAAAGACTTTATGCGTTACAAGCAGATCTTGCCTGGAACAGTAATACGTTCAGAAGCAGCGATATTGCCTTTGTCCCTCGAGTCAAGACAGCCGTTAGTTCGCCCACCTGCACAAGCAGCTCATCGCAGGTGTAGCAAGAACAGCATGCAGCAAATGCAAACCTAAGGACTGAAGGAAGACTCGGGCAAGCAAGCAATACCAAGAAACAACAGCTGCACCAGCACCAATGCCAGCAGCAGCACGAGCACAAGAAGTACTTTGTTGTTGCTGCTGAACGAAGTAGCATGCATGTGAGCAAACGCCGCTGCAGCCAACTCTCGCGAGGCCCTCTGAGACACCCGAGTGAAAAGAGCAGTGCGCAGCTCCGTGAACGCTGCAGCACAGTAACAGCAGCAATAATAAGAGCACACATTAGTAAAAACAAACCCGGCAAAGCAGGTGTACACATAGGCTGCAGCAAATGCTCCTGTCGTCTGCAGTGTAAATTGCAACTACCTGTGCGGCCTTCGTACCTGAGGCCCCCAGTCTGGCCAGTGGGTAACAAATGGCGAGACTAGCTGGAAGCGCGGGGTGCAACAGGGTCCCTGGGACCATCGTTCCCGTAGCTCCTGCTGCCGCTTCAGCAGCAGCTGTTGCAACAGCTGCTGCTGCTTGAGTTGCTTCTGCTGCAGCGGTCTGCGTGAAGTGATCTATAAGACCCGCCAAAGCCACAGGGGCTGCAATAGTCAGACACTTGGCTGCCAGTAGAGAGGTCACTGCTCCCACAACTCGCACCTTTAATGGGCGACTAGCCGGCCACAAGGCTGCAGCAAGAAGACTCCACAGGCTCTTCGCCGAGCTCCCATCTCGTCTTAACTCCGAGCTGTCTGCAACAAACAGCTGCGCTCTGCTGTTTCCGCGAATTTTGCCGCTGCCACTGCTCCTGCTGCCACGCTTCATCGTGCTGCTGTTACTGTGGCGCCACTCTCTGTCACTGCTGCTTCTACTGAGGCAAGTGCTGCAAGCAGCAGGATGGCCGCCGGATTCTGGCGGACGTCCCCCTCCCAGGTCCTCGCAGGCGGTGCTGCTGTTACCCTTACCCCTGCTTGCATTCACAGCTTTCGACAAACCACGGCTGTAGCTGGTGAATGGTTGTGTGAAGCAGCACGGCAGTCCCAAAGATGATTGTGTGCAATGTGATGAAGCAGCGGCCCGGGGGACGGCTGCAAGGGCCAGAGAGCAGGGACCACGCACAAGAATAGAGGAGTAGCCGGTGGGATAGAGATTGCTGCCGCCACTGTAGCCGCTGGGGATCCCATGAAGGGACCCTCCAGTGGCTACAGCCACGCGCGTACGTGTCTGCAGAGCAGCAAGTGGTTCAGGTGAAGCAGCCGCTGCAGGTGCTGCTGCTCCAGTCGAACAAGCCGGTGCTGTAGTAACGCGCCAAGTGCGGTGGCCCGTGCATGAGATGCGGTGTAACCGTGTTGCTGCTGTGTTCTTCAGGAGCCAGACGGCCCCTGGGGACACCCGCATAGCCTAAAGTGCAGCCTTAGGGGCCAGCGGAATGCGAGTTATTCGTCGTCTTCGGTTCATCCCAGGAGATGTCATCCTACATATATGCATATTCATGTGACAGATTCATATGCACGCACAGGGAGTATTGCATTATGCGCATGCGCATCCACTGCTGTGACTTGTACTGTGGTGGGCAGATTTGTGAAGTCTCTGCGGAAGAGCCCTAAACACCTTTCCTGCATGCATGAGTCAACCCTAGATGTGCGCTCGCATGTGCATGTGCATGCGTGCTGCGGGCCTTCTTTGGCTGCTACTTTTCCGATGATTTTCTCTTTTCCTCCCCAGGGGTTCCAGTGCAACACTTTGTCCCAGAACCCCCCCCCCCCCCG